AAAGGTATCCTAAGCGACCAGAACACTTATCAACTAGTAAGAAATGATATAACAATAAAAATCAACAGAATACCAAAGTAAATGTTAGAGGAAATGCATAACATCGGAGAAATTAACTGATGGATGGTGAATTCGTTAATACAAAATGACGAAAGACCATCGACAGCCTACGGACTACCGAAGATACATAGGGAAGGAAAACCATCCAGATTAAAGTCAACAGCAGGCATGGAACAGCATACAAACTAGTGAAATTTATATGCTTGACGTTTAAGAATGCATTTAGAATTCATATGAATTTTCTCAATGGATCCAAAATGCTGGACTGGTGGGGACGGAAATGTTGGTAAGTTTTGGCTTACAGTCCATGTGCAAAGACATCTCAGACGAGAAGGCAGTCACCGCCCTGCTGGAGGTATTGGAACGAGAGGAGGATATCCTGAAAGCAGAGCGGATACGGAAGGATCCGTTAACACGACAAATCAAACTGACAGCAAGTACCACATATTTTACATTCAATGACAATATCTATGAGCAAATATTTGGACTACCGATGGGATCGCCACTGAGTGCTTATGCAATACCTGGATGATTAAAATGCACTTTGGTTGCATGGTAAGAAAAATTTGGATAATTTTCTCAATTTTATAAACCAAATTGACGAAGAATTAAATGCACAATGGAGGTGGAGGGGGATAAACGACTATCGTTTTTGGATATTGAGGTCATTCGCTCCAAAGAAATGCTCAAAGGTAGACCATTCAGAAAGAAATAACCTGCGAAAGTAATCCTCAATTTCGAGTCTTATCAAAAGTACAGACCGAAGATCGGAATAATGAAGAGTATGAGCATCAGAAGCTTAAGACTAACGAAAACTGAGTTCTGGAACCAGGAGTTGGACAAACGGACTGGGATTTGTCTTAGTAGCGGGTACCTCAGCGAATTTATAGAAAGAAATATAGGGATTATAAAGAGCAGATTTCAATTAAGATTTTATAAAAAGTATATTAGTGAAACAGGAAGAAAAATCAGCCTACGAATCAAGGAATACCAAAGACTCTACAGAAACATGGACGCTGAAAGATCATAACATCTGGGACACATCGCATGGATTGGATACGAAATCAAGTGGAAATTGACAAAAAGGCTGGCTGCATATTGTTGAAATACAAGAAAACGCAAGATACGAGAAGCCAATGATATCCTGACTGAAAGAAGTCAAATGAATAGAAGACTTGAAGAAGGCAGGATTAGCAAAAACTTTGCATACTGCCTGAGCAAACTCAGAGAACATGAGGGAACAGCAATATCAGCAAAAAGAAGAGAACTGGACAAATGTAACATTATTAATTTCGGGAAAAGAAATGACATGGAGACCAGAGGGGAACAATCGGAAACCAAGAGGAGACCTCTGCAGTGAGCCTATTCAAATTAAGTAGAACTATCACATTCGGGGGTCGGCACGCAAGAGACTTGGGCATAAGGAATTCATAGACTTGACATTAGGAATAGAAGAGTGAAATATACCATAGAGACCATTAAGAGTTGGCTATTAATAGATAAATATGCCCATAGACGTGGTCCATAAAGTAAAGGCTTGATCACAAGATTTACTCGGTGCCCATGCCACCAAGTGATAAGGGAATCTGCAGCATCAAGTTAAGTTCCCATGCTAA